CTAAAAAGCTCTAGGCAATTTCCCTTTGCCCTGCCAAGTCTACCTATAGACCATCTAAGACAAGACATTACAAGAGTCAGCTACTTTCCTGAAATGGATTATGAACTTTCTCATCCTTGTTTTGTTTTTTAAGATTTTATTTATTTGAGAGAGAAAGAGAGAGAGAGAGAAAATGAAGGACAGAGCATGAACAGAGAGGGCAGGGGAGGGTCGGGGGAGAAGAAGAAGAAGCAGATCCGTCCCTGCTTTTGTGTCTTTATATAGATGAGGATTTTAATCAAGAAAAATCTGGAAGGCAGATATATTCAAAAAGGTCATGAGCAAAAACCACCAATTGAAGATTCAAATAAATTAGCAAACGCTCCCTTTTCAATATTAATCTCCTCAAAAGGCTGCCATAATTAGTTAGCTTTGAGCTACAAAAGGAGAGTGAGCTGAAGAGGGGGAAAGAAATGAAGAGAGCAGGAGGACAAGGGCAGGTGAAGATCACATACCAAAAATGCAAAAAAAAAGGTAAAAAAATACACTTTGCCAACAGCTACCAACTATCCATCTTCCCTCAGAACAAGCCTACTAATGAAGAAAACAAGATTTTGCTGCTACATTTTTTTGGGGGGGGCACTATTTTCTTAATGTAGTTATCCAACAGTATTAAATGTAAACAAGGGTTACTCATGGTAACTGAGGAAACTATAGCTTCCTGGCAATTTTCTATTCTCTACAGACATAATATAATGAAAAAAAAAAAAAAGAGCTTCTGCTTCACCAAGTCTATTAAAAAGAATATTGAACTAGATCTTAAATACATAGTTCCTAGTTTTGGTTTTGACCCTCTTGACAAGTGACTTTAGTCCAGTCACTAAATTTTTTTTTAAGATTTTGTTTATTTGGGCAGCCCGGGTGGCTCAGTGGTTAACCGCGACTGCCTTTGGCCCAGGGCCTGATTCTGGAGACCGGGGATCAAGTCCCAGGTCGGGACCCCTGCATGGAGCCTGCTTCTCCCTCTGCCTGTGTCTCTGCCTCTCTCTGTGTGTGTCTCTCGTGAATTAATAAATAAATAAATAGTAATAAATAATAAATTATTCATGACAGACACAGAGTCTCGTGAATTAATAAATAAATAAAAATAATAAATAATAAATAAATTATTCATGATAGACACACAGAGAGAGAGAGAGGCAGAGACACAGGCAGAGGGAGAAGCAGGCTCCATGCAGGGGGCCCGACCTGGGACTTGATCCCGGGTCTCCAGAATCAGGCCCTGGGCCAAAGGCAGTCGCGGTTAACCACTGAGCCACCCGAGCATCCCCAGTCACTAAATTTTTATCAATGTTCGCATTCACCTAAACAGCACTTCTTGAGCACCAAAAAAATTGAGCGGTTTTAGAGTTTCTCAGCCCTGGCTGCACATTAGAATCACCTGGGAAGGCTTTAAAAAAAAAAAAAGTCTCCCCTGAGATTCAGGTTTAATTGGTCTGAGGTGGGGCCCAAGCATAGGTTTTTTAAAAACATTCCCTTGCAATTTTAATGTGCAGCCCAGGTGAAAAACCACAGGTCTATTCTGTTTCATGTATATGTGAAGAACAGCAAAATAATGCAAAAAGCCCTCCCTGCTTCCATTCAAATTTATCAACTTTCCCTTCTTAACCTCAGGTTTACCCCAGGTTCTAACCATCTCACACCTAGATTAACAGAATACCTTCCTATTTTCACTTCCACCAGTCTCTTCCGAATCCAATAAACCATTACATGCTTGCCTAACTAATCAGTTTGGTTCTGAAACATTATCCAACTGAGAGTCATGTTAAGTATAATACCAACAAACAGAACTGTTTTCATCACAGGATACTGTATGTACACAGATATGTATGTATGTGTGTGTGTACATATGTGTATGATCTCAAATATGCCCTATTTTTCTTCAGCACAAGTGTACCCACCTCTATTTATACATAATAAATACTAGTATCTTTACATACAAAAATATTGTCCCTGAATAGTTCATGACTGAATTTTGTCAAAAATGAATGGCAGGTGACGGGCTCTGAGGGGGGCACGTGACAGGATGAGCACTGCGTGTTATGCTATATGTTGGCAAATCGAACTCCAATAAAAAAATATACAAAAAAAAAAAAAAGAATGGCAAATGAGTCACTCACAAATCAGTCACTTAGGGAAGTCTGGGTGGCTTAGTGGTTGGGCACCTGCCTTCGGCTCAAGTCATGATCCCAGAGTCCCGGGATCGAAAGACCCACATTAGGGCTCCCTGTGAGGAGCCTGCTTCTCCCTCTGCCTATGTCTCTGCCTCTCTCTCTTTCTGTTTCTCGGAATAAATAAACAAAATATTTTAAAAAACAAATCTGTCATTTAAATTTTGAAGGGTTTTCACAAGGGACACATTAAACTGAGAAAAAAAAAGTAAAATGAGGTGGAATTATCTCAAAAATCCTGTTACCACAGATACTGATAAAGTTTATGACGAATGCTTATCAAGAACAAATATGGCTATGCTTTATGTTAAAGCTTGCCTCAGAAAACCAACTGAAGGCTTAAAAGCCAAAGGTTATAACCATATAAGATGATATTTATGTTTATGAAAAATATTATCAAGTATAATACAAGTAATATATAATGAAAAGACTGAACAAGTATATGACTTATCCCCTACCCTTAAGGAGCTCTCCAGCTTCTCAGGAACAGCATGACACAAACATAAAAAGAAAATAAAGCCAGCACTAGCAAGTAAGTGATCAAGATAGTACCATAAGAACTCAAAAACAGGGGATCCCTGGGTGGCGCAGCGGTTTGGCGCCTGCCTTTGGCCCAGGGCGCGATCCTGGAGACCCGGGATCGAATCCCACATCGGGCTCCCGGTGCATGGAGCCTGCTTCTCCCTCTGCCTGTGTCTTTGCCTCTCTCTCTCTCTCTGTGACTATCATAAATAAATAAAAAAATTAAAAAAAAAATTAAAAAAAAAAAAAAAAAGAACTCAAAAACAGGGCAGCCTGGGTGGCTCAGTGGTTTAGCGTTGCCTTTGGCCAGGGCATGATCCTGGAGACCTGGGATCAAGTCCCCATGTCAGGCTCCCTGCATGGAGCCTGCTTCTCCCTCTGCCTGTGTCTCTGCCTCTCTCTGTTTCTCATGAATAAATAAATAAAATCTTTAAAAAAAAAAAAAAGAGAACTGAAAAACAGGAGACTGCTATGGACTAAGGGAGTCAGACACAGCTTCCTGGAAAAGCTAGGGCTTGAACAAAATTAAATAGGTGGAGTAAAGAAAAAAAATCCCAAGCATGTGAGTGAGCTTCTATACAGATGAGGCAGAAATTCATTAAATATATTTGAGGGACAGGGAGTTGACCTAGTTGGAACAGAAGGTTCTATGTAGGAGTGTCTGGGGCAGTGAGGTTGCAATAATAAATTGGAGCTGGACAGTGAAAGCCCTGAATGCCAAGCCAGGATGCTTAAACTCTGTGCTACAGACAGATCCTTTACAGGTCATAAAGCACAACAAGCAAAACAATATATCCCATAATGATGCATCTGAAACCATTTTTCTTGAAGCCTCTGAAGAACATACCAAGTCCTATAATATTTTGCCAATATATTCATAAATATGTGAACATATTGTTTAGGAAATCTGTTCAGAGTGAAGGAGTAAATACTCAAACATGCTTTCCAAAATACAAAACCAGTGATCGATTACGCATTCATAGTTCTTAGGATAATTCCTAAGAGAATAATTGGATAGACGGCTTCAATTTTAGGTTTTCCTCCTCACCCCACTCTCCTCCAAACACATACCTAAATTTAATATCCAACTGAATACACTGAAATAGTGTCATTCTGAAAATAAGAGGCCTTTTATTACTTCTCATTATGGGTGAATTTACTTACTGTACTGTTTCAAAATTACTACACCTATCAAAATAATTTTGTCCATGTTTTCTTTCAGCAAAGCAAATAAAAAAGATAATAAATGCAAAGATCATGAAAAGCAAAAAATCATTTCATCAAACCAAAACATATTTAAAATAATCAGCACTGGTTTATAAGGCAGAGGGGAAAGGGAGTATGTTCATAACAAAAAAAATGCCATCCACAACAAAGAGTACCAGAGAATATATGAAGAACACTACAATAGCCAGTTTTTTAACCAAAATGATAAGCCATTAGCCCACAACTCCCTAAAGAATAGGGTTAATTCTGCTTCTCAGAAATGCCCTCAAATTTTTTGGCTATTTCTGGTATAAAAATTAAGAGTCTAACCTAACTCAAAACAAGGATCCTTTCCCCTGGCAACCAGACATGTTAGTGATTGATGAATTCATTTGCCACTACAGCAAATACTAATTTAACCACCACTACCTTCTCAACACCAGGAAAATGAAAATTTTCAGCCTCTAAAGGCATACGTGACAAGAAGGCAGGAATATTCTAGGATGATGAAAACACACACACAAAATAAGAACACATAAAAACCGTGGCAATGCTGCTGCTATACGATGAAAAAGGAATATGCCATTCTTAGAGCCACGTATGTCTTTAAAGAATATGTGTAGATTGTGATTTTAGGTATTGTCTTTTTTTTTTTTTTCCTCCCTCTCGGAAAGAGAACATCCAGGAGAGTTGGAAGAAGTGCGTTAAGGAAGGTGTCAATACCTCCCTCCCTATTCCTTACTGGGGAAACTCGCTTTAACAATAATGCTCTTTCAGCCTCACATCCCGCCAGGTTTCCATACATCCTTCGGTCGGCAACCCGCCACCCCACCCCCCACCCCGCTCCCACCCCGCTCCCACCACCACCACCACCACCACCACCATTCCCTTCCCTCCCCCTCACATTCACGAGAACAGGCTGCTCCGACTTTGTCGGTCTCGCCGCCCCCGCGAACCCGCCCAGACCAGCGGAGTCCAACAACGCAGCCACGCAGCCACCCACACCCCCCACCTCCTCCTTCGGAGCCCAGCTTCCCCTCCACCCCAACCCCGTCCTGTCACCTGCTTGGGTGGTGTCCGTCAGGTCGTAGCCGCTGCCGGGGAAGTCTCGGAGTTTCCTACCGCTGAGGCTCAGGATGCCAGAGTTGCCCGCCTCCTCCAGGGCCCGGTCCAGGCTCCTCACCGTGTGTTGAGGCTGCAGGCTCCCCGGGTTCCACTGCGGCCCGTTGGGGAACGGCTGACCGAAAAGAGTCGGTACCGGGATGGGCACCACCAGGGTCCCGCCGCCGCCGCCTCCCCCTCCGGCTCCGCCACCTCCCCCTCCGGCTGCGCTACCGCCACCGCTACTTCCACCTCCACCACAACCGCCGCCCCCACTGTTAACACCACCTCCCTGACTCGCCGCCATGTTCCTGGGAGAGAGAATAGCCCCCGACAATACTCTCAGCTTGTGCCGCGAGTGTAGGGGGTTCTTAGGACGCATGCGCAGACTGGGGGGCGGAGGGGGGCGAGGTAGATGGTGGGAAGGAACCGGGGACGGGCTGGGAGGAGGTGTTGGGTAGGGAAGAGACCGTGTTCAAACGTACAGAACGCTCGCTTTCAGAAATGTGTGGTCAGAGGAAGGATGCTAAATCTCGGTTCCGCTGCTTTGGGTACCAAAATCCTCCGAAGCGACGCCAGCTTGACTACAGGTCATTTAGCGGTAGGTCCCCAGATCCGTAAATTGCTTCACCTTTCTCCGCTCTGCAAAACAAAGACAAATATATTAGGTAGGGGTAAAAGGGGTTCGTTCCAGAATATATTGAAACGGCATTTAGAAGGACTACCAGGACTTTCAAAAGGACTACCACCTCATTGAAACGCTTAACGCCAATGCCTCAAGAATTGTTTACCAGGGTTGGCGCGGAGAGAAACAGTGGAGGGTCATCTGGGGAGGGAAACTGGTGCAGAATTGAGTTTTAAGCATATATGAATTTTGCCATAGTTTAGAGTTCCAAAATAGGAAAAGACTTTTTAAATGTTTTCAAGGAAGCCTTTCGTTTCAGTATGTGTGGGTCTCGGCCAAACTGCTGCCTTCCAAAACTTGGAAAAGTTATCTACATTCTGTTCTGTCACTCTTTGAAGTTGTGCCAAGATCTCCAAAGTATCTCAGGTTTCTTTTCATCATGTCAGTATGGCTGATGGAAAACTCTGATCATTAAACAACCTTAAAGTTTATTTTTGAAATATAGGTTTGCGTTTCAGGTGGAATTCTGCAGGTTTAACACTGGGGATAATAAACTAATCAATCTTGGATTTTTAGGAGGTCGTTTTTAGAACCTGAACCCAACTAAACTATTCAGGCCGCTGTTACCCTCCTACTGCCACTCAATATTCAAAACTTTTTCACTGACAGTAAAATCACTGACCCTCCCCCCGAAAAACTATCAAAATGTTTGGGCATATTCAGTTATCATTAATTTGAATATCCAATATATCTCTTTTACATCCATTTCAATTTGAGCAATCTGCCAAAAATCTCATTTTCTTAGACAATCTCCACAAAAGTTTGCCTGCCATTGGCTCTACTTTGGGAAAAAATGCAGGAAAAAATTAACAACTTGTCTAAATTGCTTTGTGGCCATCCATACAGGTTAATTAAAATGATTATGTTGCAAGAAATTACATTTGCTGTATGTATGCCCCACAGAAGGAACAGAACTGAGAATCAGACTCTACAATGAATTAGTGAAATCAAATTATTTAAGCCCACTGGTGTTAGAAAGAAATGCTGTAACTTATATCTCATCTTTATATCACAAATCAAAACAAGAATTGAGAACTTCCAGAACCAAGAAGGCAAGAAGGGTGAGAAGAGAAACTAAATTCATTAGTTAGAGGGAAGCCTGGATGGCTCAGCGGTTGAGCGTCTGCCTTTGGCTCAGGGCCTGATCCCTGAGTCCTGGGATCGAGTCCCACATTGGACTTCCTATATGGATCCTGCTTCTCTCTCCTGTCTATGTCTCTGCCTCTCTCTCTGTGTCTCTCATAAGTAAATAAATAAATAAATAAATTCATTAGAGAAAAGATTAGGAATGGAACTATTTTAATAATTAGCCAATATGAATTTTGACATTATTTAAAACAAGTAAAAAAGGCCATGTATAACCAAATTTAAGAAGTAATCTTTCAAAGAATTAAAAGATAATCTAATGCAAAAAACAGAAAGCCTGCAAAGTAGGCTAAGTATACATGAAAATCAGAATAACACATTCTAGCTCTTTCACAAAACACCAAACCTTAAGGAGTATTAAACGATACCCTGAGGGGCACCTGGGTGGCTCAGTTGGTTAAGCGTTTTCCTTTGGCTCAGGTCATGATCTCAGGGTCCTGGAACGGAGCCCCACGTGGGGCTCCTTGGGCTCCTTGCTCAGCAGGGAGCCTGTTTCTCCTCTCCCTCTGCTCCTCCCCACTGCTCATTTTCTCTCTCTCTCAAATAAATCTAAAAAATAAACAAATAAAAGATAAACTGAGGCATATCTTAAAAATATAAGAGTTAATTTGAGCATTTATTGATTTTAATTTAGGCAGTGCCAAACTAGATGTGGTTAGGAGTGCTCTGCCAACAGGAACCAAAGGAAAGACATATACAAAAAATGAGGCAGCAAAGGAAGGAAATTATCTAACTGGCTATAACTTAAAACCTGGTTACCTGTTTATGATTGGTTGTCCTTAGCATTTTGATTTTATAACCTTGAGGCATTTATACTTTTAGATTTTGTTTTGCTTAAGCAAGTTGCCTTAGCAATAAAGCCACCTCAGCCTGATGGCCTCCTTGGTTTCACTAATTTAACAGGAGGTAAAAGGTTTAAAAGAAGGAGTATGAAATTCAGAAATTTGTTCCAACCACTTAACTGTGTAATACTCAGGTTACTTAAAATCTCTGGGGCAGCCGCGGTGGCCCAGCGGTTTAGTGCCACCTTCGGCCCAGGGTGTGATCCTGGAGACCTGGGATGGAGTCCCACGTGGTGCTCCCTGCAGGGAGCCTGCTTCTCCCTCTGCCTGTGTCTCTGCCTCTGTCTCTCTCTCTGTGTCTCTCATGAATAAATAAATAAAATCTTAAAAAAAAATCTCTATTTCAGTCTCATCAGAAGTAATACTAGAAAATAACAAGAAGGGGCAGCCCAAGTGGCTCAACAATTTAGTGCTACCTTCAGCCCAGGGCCTGATCCTGGAGACTCGGGATCGAATCCCATGTCCGGCTCCCTGCATGGAGCCTGCTTCTACCTCTGCCTGTGTCTCTGCCTCTCTCTCTCTCTCTGTGTCTCTCAGGAATAAATAAATAAAATAGTAAAAAAAAAAAAAAAAGAAAGAAAAAGAAAATAACAAGAAGAAGGAGAATATTTTAAATAGTGTTTACTCTTTACCAGGAACTGTTCTAATTGCTTTATATATACTAAATCATTCAATCCTCATAACAATCCTGTAAAATAAGTCCTATTCTTCCATTTTAGATGAGGAAGAATAGTATATAGTTCACATAAGATTGTTCTAAGAATAAATAAGATCACATATGAGCTATTATTGTGTGCCAAGAACTATTGTCTCCAAGTAATAGTATAGCATTAGGTACTCAATAAATGTTAGTCTCTTTATTATACCCTTGCCCCTCTCATGAAAGAAAACTAAATAATAAGAAATATACAAATAGAGGAAATCAAGGGAGAAATCAGTTAATTTCTTTTTTTTAATCAGTTAATTTCTTGATAACTGTGGGCAAAGAGGTATTTGATAAATTGCATGAATTTTTTGCATCAGTTTATACTAGAGAATATTTTACAATGATTAACATTTCAATAGTATTTCTGATCTGGACATTTGGTAATTGGTTAAATTAGTCAATACTCAGCATTATCCAAGCCAAATTTAGAAAACAAATGTTGATAAATCATCAGGACTAAATGACATATATCAAAGATTACAGAAGGAAAACAAGGGGTTTTGAACAAAACATGGAGCCTGTATTAAATAAAACACTGACAAATGACAAAGGTGATTTGTACTCAAAGAATTCTGGGGCAGCCCCGGTGGCCCCGCAGTTTAGCGCTGCCTTCAGCCCAGGGCATGATCCTAGAGACCCAGGATCGAGTCCCACGTTGGGCTCCCTGCATGGAGCCTGCTTCTCCCTCTGCCTATGTCTCAGCCTCTCTGTATCTCTCATGAATAAAAAAATAAAATCCTTAAAAGAGAGAGAGATTTGGACAAATGTATCAATGATCACTATTACTTAAAAGAAGTGATTACATACCTAATCTTAATTGTTGATGCCAGTAAGCACTATTTTATTCCATCTTGGTTAGAATCTCTGCTATGACACTTACAAGATGTGAGATAGACAAGTTTTACCTCTCAAAGTTTCGATTCCTCACCTATAGACTAGAAATCATAACATTATTAGCCATTTCATAGGATTGTAGTGAGGATTACATGAGATAATTACATAAAACACTTACCATATTATAAAGGTTATTATTATTGTTTTTCTAGGTTCACTTTGTCAGGAGAACACTGATCTGAGTGAACCATGAATTATCAGCATGGCACTTCTTAAATTCTTTTGTACTATTGTGCCACCAGCGCTAACAAAACATTTTCCTTCTGCTGCTGTTGAAGTTACATCCTTATTAACTCACCTCAAACTTCCACCTCTCCTAACTTTTGTGTTATCCCTATGATTCCATAACCTGATTCCAATTCCTCTTTAATGTCTCTAATGCAATTCCAGATTTTGACCTTTGTGTTTCTCGTATGTTAACCTGATATCATGAAATCCATTTAAATATCTGTTCCAAATCCTCCTTAAAAATATATCTTAGGGATCCCTGGGTGGCGCAGCGGTTTAGCGCCTGCCTTTGGCCCAGGGCGCGATCCTGGAGAACCTAGATCGAATCCCACGTCGGGCTCCCGGTGCATGGAGCCTGCTTCTCCCTCTGCCTGTGTCTCTGCCTCTCTCTCTCTCTCTCTCTGTGTGTGTGTGACTATCATAAATAAATAAAAAAAAATTTAAAAAAAAATCTTAAAATGGGGCACCTGGCTGGCTCAGTGAGTAGAAAATGTGACTCTTGATCTTGATCCTGAGGTTGTGAGTTTGAGCCCCACATGGGGGGTAGAGTTTACTTAAAAACAATATATATATTATTTCATGTAAGTGACACAAGTCTGTTAAACATCCTGAAGAACTCTCTTATTAGAGAAGCACATAAAAGATACAGAGTGCAGAATTTTGCTAGTTTAGCTTGGCCAAAAGAAAGTAAATAAAACATCATATTAGACTATGAAAACTGTAATGTCCAATCAGAAAACATGAGGTTGAGGAAGATTTTTTTTTAGTCTTCTTTAGTATTACATTGGAAAGTCTCCTTTTTATAT